GCTTAACGACTGAGCCACCCAGGCGCCCCATCCTTTTTTTTTTTAAGATTTTATTTTTTTAAGTAATCTCTATTCCCAACGTGGGGCTCTAACTCAGAACCCTGAGACCAAGAGTCACATGCTCCACCAACTAAGCCTGCCAGGTGCCCCTCATGGGGACCTTTTAAGTAAAATAATCAACATAATCTGATGGCTGACTAGATAAAAAGGAGCAAAATGAGTAGTAAGTTTTTCCAAGGGTTCCTGCCCAAGTAACTGGAGAAAGGATGGTGATAGAGAAGTTGGGGAGGGGCGGGTGAAGACAGAGATAAGCTGGACAGGACAGTCAAGATGACTTGGAGTTTGGGAGACTGAGCAGGAGTGGAGTCCTGTACGGGAGAGGGGACTATTAGCACAGAGGCATTGTGGCAGTGAAAACGGAGTCCCCAGGGTGGAGAAGGTAGAAAGAAAACTGTCTGGAAGATTGAGGAATAGAGAAGAAACCAACTAAACCACTTTTTGTTCTTTCTTTTAGCAGCTATTTAGTGAATGCCCACTGTCTGTAGGCACTGTTCTAGGTGGTGGGTATAGCACAGTGGTCAAAGGACTCAAAGTTCTTGGTCTCATGGAGCTCATGATTAGAGAGGTAAGAAGAGAAACAGAAGACACTGGGTAAGGACACCAGGGGGAAGAGCGTTTTTAAAGAGACGATGGTGATGGACAGCGACCATCCCCCCAGAGGAGGAGGGGAGGAAGGGAAAAGCATGGGTTTGGGCACTAAGGAAGTCATTTGCAGTTGTGCTACGGATAAAAATGAGCTGACAGGGTAAGCAGGGAGCGTGAGTTAGGAAAACAGATGTACACTCCTTGTTCTACAGGTTGGCAGCAGAAGGAAAGTGAGAAATGGTGGTAAAGAGGTCATGAGAAGGTATTCTAACATGGGGGAAAGACTGCATGTTAGGAATGACAAGCACTGTCGGAGCAGTTAAAAATGGTCGGGGATGAGACGTCTTTGGCAGCTTCGTGCCTCCTTGGGACCAACCATTCAGTAGACTCTTCTTCGGTTTCAGGGTCCTTTGCTTGGACTGTGGTGAACAGATTCCCCGGGCGGTGCTGCAGGAGCGTTTTGAAGCCCTGAACCGCACCTGGAGTGCCGAGGCCCACGGCCTGGCTCCGGATGGCGACGTCTTTCTCACAGAGGGGCAGGTGCAGAGCTTTCAGGTCCCGTCCTGCGCCCAATGTGGAGGCCCCCTGAAACCAGATGTCGTTTTCTTCGGGGACACAGTGAACCCTGACAAGGTTGACTTTGTGCACAGGCGTGTAAAAGAAGCGGACTCCCTCTTGGTAGTGGGCTCATCCTTGCAGGTATCTGACTTGGTCAGGGTGGTGACTGCCCCTTTTGTGGGATGGAGAACCCCGGAGAGGCTCCCTGTCTGGTTTCTGTCTTCCTGCATTGAGAGTTCTCACAGGTGTCTTCTTCTTGTAAGGTGTACTCCGGCTACAGGTTTATCCTCACTGCCCGAGAGAAGCAGCTCCCAATTGCAATACTTAACATTGGGCCCACACGGTCGGACGACTTGGCATGTCTGAAACTGGATTCTCCTTGCGGAGAGTTGCTGCCTTTGATAGACCCACGCTGACCACAGCCTGGTGATCCTGAGCCCGAAGCTGGGACTTTCACTGTAATCCTGCTATTAAAGGTAAATGCTTTCTTAGATAAGTTTCCAGTTCCCATTCAACTGAGAGCACTGACAAAATATAGGCTTCTTAATGTATGGCCCCATATTTTAAAACTATTTTAAATTAAAGTATACTAGGGGCGCCTGGGTGGCTCAGTTGTTAAGCGTCTGCCTTCAGCTCAGGTCTTGGGATCGAGCCCCGCATCGGGCTCCCTGCTCTGCGGGAGGCCTGCTTCTCCCTCTCCCACTCCCCCTGCTTGTGTTCCCTCTCTTGCTGTGTCTCTGTCAAATAAATAAATTAATTAATTAATTAAAAAAATAAATTGAAGTATACTATACATACTATTTTAAAAACTATTCTAATTGAAGTATACTATACATACAGAGAAGAGCATGTATTATAAGTAGACAGCTTGATGAAGACATATAGCATCTAGATCAAGAAAGAGAACATGACTAGCAAACAAAGAAGCCCCGTTGGCATACACACTTTTTAAAGTAGTAGGTTCCATGCCCAGCATGGAGCCCAACATGGGGCTTGAACCCACAACTCTGAGATCAAGACCTGAGCCGAGATCAACAGTTGGGAGGATCAACTGACTGAGCCACCCAGGTGCCCCAACACACACATTTTTTTTTAAAGATTTATTCAGGGGCGCCTGGGTGGCTCAGTCGTTAAGTGTCTGCCTTCGGCTCAGGTCATGATCCCGGGGTCCTGGGATCAAGCCCTGCATCGGGCTTTCTGCTTGGCGGGGAGTCTGCTTCTCCTCTCCCACTCCCCCTGCTTGTGTTCCCTCTCTCACTGTGTCTCTCTCTTAAAAAAAAAAAAAGATTTTATTTATTCATTTGAGAGGCAGAGAGCACAAGCAGGGGAAGAAGCAGAGGGAGAGGGAGAAGCAGACTCCCTGCTGAGCTGGGAGCCCGATGGGGGCTCGATCCCAGGACCTGGAGATGGTGACCTGAGTTGAAGGCAGATATTTAACCATCTGAGCTACCCAGGTACCCCCCACACACTTTTTAATATACTTTTAAAACTAGGTTCTTTTTTTTTTTTAACTAGGTTCTTATTACTAGAATAATATATATTTGTTGTAGAACGTTAAGATGATACAGATAGGGATGCCTGGGTTACTCAGTTGGGTAAGCGGCTGCCTTTAGCTCGGGTCATGGTCCCAGGGTCGTGGGATCGAGTCCCGCATCGGGCTCCTTGCTCAGCAGGAAGCCTGCTTCTCCCTCTGCCTGCCGCTCCCCCTGCTTGTGCTCTCTCTGACCAATAAATAAATAAAATCTTAAAAAAAAAAAAAAGATACATATAAGTAAAAAGAATATAATACAAATTACCCATTATCCTACCACCAAGATAACCAAAGTTTAACATTCTGGTATAACTAAATCTGTTTTTACAAAAATCAAATCAAGGCTGTGCATGTTTTAAATGCATTTTTTTTTTTTAAGATTTTATTAAAATAGAGACACAGCAAGAAACAGAACACAAGCAGGGGGAGTGGGAGAGGGAGAAGCAGGCTTCCCGCTGAGCAGGGAGCCCGATGCGGGGCTCGATGCGGGGCTCGATCCCAGGACGCTGGGATCATGACCTGAGCTGAAGGCAGACGCTTAACCGACTGAGCCACCCAGGTGCCCCAAGGCTGTGCATGTTTTATCACATCCTTTTTTCACTTAACAAGATATGGTGGCCATCTTTACATGCCCCAAATGCTGTTGTTTTTTGAATGGTAGGGTGATGTTCACAATCATTACCCCCACCCACTCTCGGCTTATTCAGCATTAACTTGTTTCATTTCTTTTCAGATTCGTAAGGATTCCTCACTTCCTCCTCTAACTAATCAAGCTCACTGAGTGTAGCCTGTAGAGGGCAGCAAACCAACATCTTTATCCCAGCCCCTCCCTCCCTGAACTGGGCAGGTTTGAGTGTGGCTGAGATTTACCCTGAAGAAAGACTTTTTCAAAGCAGCGGCTGCTCTTGATAGGGAAAACTGCCCTCACTTGCTTTTTATCTCACCAGGCAGAAGAAACAGCTTGGGAAATATGTAGGCCAGAACGGTCTCTGGAGTGCTAACCCAGGAATCTCACTAATGTGGGGGGGTGAGGGGAGAAGAAAATGACTTCATTTAGAATTACAAATGGTTAAATGTCTCTAACTGAAACATTTTGATATTTCTTTTTAAAGATGAGTAATGGTATGAATGAATTTTTTATTAACTAAGGAATAAAGGAACCATATTTTTAATAGCACACCAAGTATGTGGGCTGTACGTTTATATTCTTTTTTTTTTTTTAAAGATTTTATTTATTTATTAGAGAGAGAGAAAGCACAAGCAGAAGGAGTGGCAGGCAGAGGGAGAAGCAGACTCCTCGCTGAGCAAGGAGCCCGATACGGGACTTGATCCCAGGACCCTGGGATCATGACCTGAGCCGAAGGCAGACGCTTAACCGACTGAGCCACCCAGGCATCCCTATATTCTTTTTTTAATCAGCTAAAAGAGAATGGGCTTTATGACACGGTTCTCTTAAGGATTTCTGCCGGATTTCAGCTGCCATAATGAGACAGTTGCCTTGAACCTGGTCTGTAGAGAGGAAACAAGTGGGCTCTTAAACTGATTTGTTTCTGCCAAGTAAGGCAGCATTACTGTGTTAGCCAGAGAGAATCACTGTACGAGGCTAAAGCTTTCAGCACAATCTCATCAAAAAGTAAAGCGGATGAAAGAATCACAGCCTATTCTCGATAGTCCTTTGTCTAAAATTAGGGCAAAGCAATACATGTTCATCCTGCACCTGCCTAGGAAGTAAATTTTAGTTAACTGGCATAATCCAGGATCTTGAAACCAACAGAGTTCTTTTCATCTGCACAACTGTACATTTTCCCATAGTCATTAATTCTGAAGAGGTGTAAGGTTGTTGTAAATCTCATTCCAGCTTTTTTGCAGAGGAGGATCCTAAGGTGCTTTGAATCAGATTTGCTCAGTTACCAAAAGTCAGTACCAGTAACTGTATTCAAATCTGGGTCTTTTGGATCTTAAGCTATTCTCATCCACAAATTTCAATGGTTACTGACAGATACTGTATTAAGGTACTAAGGCTACAAAGATACAACCTCTTGGCTTCAGGGGCACCTGGGTGGCTCAGATGGTTAAACATCTGCCTTCAGCTCAGGTCATGATCCCAGGGTCCTGGGCTCGAGCCCCACATCGGGCTCCTGGCTCGGCAGGGAGCCTGCTTCTCCCTCTCCGTCTGCCTCTCCCCCTGCTCATGCTCTCTCTTTCTGTATCTCTGTGTCTCAAATGAATAAATAAAATCTTAAAAAACAACCTCTTGGCTTCAAGTGGCTCACAGAGAATGTGCTATTTCCTCATCCTTATTCTCTACCACAAAATGTCACAGATTCATGCATGGAATGACAGAATGAGAGCAAATTAAATGCATCCTCCCCCTCATTTTATTTTGGAGGAAACTAAGATCCAGACTTACTGAAGGCCATACAACATAGTATAAGAGCCAGGACTAGAATCCAAGACTTTCCTCCCAGTTCTGTTCTTTTTAAACAACTGCTTCCTATTTGTCTGAGGCTTATGCTTAGAAAGAAGCCCGAAGTAGAAACCAGCAGTACAACTGGCCAAGGAGACCAGGAATGGTTAAGATGCAGTGGGCAGTGGAGAGCAGGTTAGGTTGCCAAGGAAGGAGGCAGGCTCTTTCTATCACCTAATGTGGCACGATTCATGAAACCAAGTCTTCAGGACCTTAGGAATGTTCGTTTTGTTCATAGTTTCTCCTGAGATGGAATTCCTCCCCAAAAATTTGTCCCAAGAGGAACTCTGCTGTCTCCTCACTTTAACATCTTTTGCTTCTAACCAGCATGGCAGTTCCCAACCCACTGTAAGTGCCCTCTGCTGGAATAACAAACTGACTAGTGGGTGCTATCGGTTTGTCATTGCCCCAGTTACAAGCTTCAACTGCTTCCATGGCTCTGCTCTGCTATCACAGTTGTGGTAAGTAGAAGTCATAAAGGCAAACAAGTATGTAACACTCAAAACCAGTTTCCCACTAACTCATATTCCTTTTTACAGTGTCATAAATTGAGTATGTCTCTCACCTCTCCCTTAAATAACAGCATTTATTGAGCACACTATATCACAAACACTATGCAAAGTATTTTACAACACATTAGCTCACTTAATAAATTAACCCCGTAAGAAATGCTTGGCCACGCATAAGGGTCAGTCTTCAGTGAATGCCAAACTTTTCCTGAGAGGATGCATTTAAGGACCAATAGGAAATCCAACACTCCTAGGTGGGGTGACCAACTGTCCCACATTGCCCAGTACTGAGGGAGTTTCCTGGATTGCAGGACTTTCAGTGCTAAAACCAGGAAGAATTGGTTACCCTGCTCCTAGGAACGGGGTATAATAGTTAATTGGAATAGTTAATCTGAATTAGTTAATTCCAGATACATTGTCCTTCTTGAGATTCAAGATGGTGCTCAGATCCAGATTTTTTATTTAATCTTTAGGTCACATAACAGATAAATTCCACTTTGTGAAGGGAAAAAAAAAGTTAATCTCATCCAAGAAAGGAGAGTGTTTTTTTTTTTCTCAATTTATTAAAAGGACTATAGCATGGAATCGAAACTCTTAGGATATAGACAGACCTGGATTTCCATCTCTGTCTTTTTTTTTTAAGATTTTATATATTTATTTGACAGCGAGAGCAGGAGCACAAGCAGGGGGAGTGCGAGAGGGAGAGGGAGAAGCAGACTTCCCAGTGAGCAGGGAGCCCGATGCGGGGCTCCATCCCAGGAACCCTGGGGTCATGACCTGAGCCGAAGGCAGAAGGCAGACGCTTAACAACTGTGCCATCCAGGAGCCCCTCCATCCTGTCTTGCTAGTTACTAGTTATGTGAATTTGGACAAGTGGTTAATCTTCAATCTCTTTATAGATGAGGATGCTAGTAGCTACCTCATTGGGTTGTTAGGGAAGATTAAGAAAGGTAGTGATTCGGGGCGCCTGGGTGGCTCAGTCGGTTAAGCGGCTGCCTTCGACTTGGGTCATGATCCCACGGTCCTGGGATTGATCCCCACGTCGGGCTCCCTGTTCAGTGGAGAGTCTGCTTCTCCCTCTCCCTCTGCCTGCCTCTCTGCCTACTTGTGTTCTCTCTCTATCAAATAAATAAAATCTTCAAAAAAAAAAGGTAGTGATGCATCCCAAGCTCCTAGCACAGTGCCTGGCACATACTAAGCAAATGTCAGCCATTATCACTAGCCTAAACCTTTGTCCTCTACTGAGTACTCCTTTAACTAGACTCGCATGTATCTTCTCCAGAGCTACATTTCCTTTTTGTGTACCTTTTTTTTAAAAGATTACAAAAGCCAAATCTTGCTTGATATAATAAAGCCTTTCTAAAGAAAATAGAGTATCCTTCCCTCTCCTTCCCCTTGGGAAAATAGTATTTATGGAACATTTACTATACAACAAGCACTGTAGGAAGCATTTTACAAGGCGCTGGCTCACCTAATTCCCACAACCCTATGATCTGCATACTATATTATTTCTTTTGAAAGATGAGGATCCTGAAGCTTGGAGATTTTATGTAACTAGCCTAAGGTCACCTGGGGTGACCAGGCCAGTAATCAAAGCCAGTCCATCCAGTTCTGAACTCCCTTTCTTTAATATCTATAGAAGACGGGTGGGGTAACTGCGCAAAATTGCACTTTGGGAGGGAAGAATGGCAAGACTCAAGAAACTTCTTGAGGTGACCCCAACTAAGTCCTGAGGGATGAAGAGGCAAGCACCAGGCGGGGAAAGGGAGAGCATTCCAACCGGAGGTCAGAGCTGCAAATCCCTCCACCTTTTGTTTCCCCTCTTTGACAGTGGGGACTTGGGGCGCAGAAGCCCTTGGCTTGCCCCACATCCACTCGCCTCTCTCCTCGCGCCAGTCTGGCACCCCAGCTTCCCGGCCCCCTCGTCCCTTTCCGGGTTGGGAGCCCCGGAGGAGCTACCGACCGGAAACTGGCAGGGGGCTGGGGGCGGCGGGGCGTGTGTGGGGCCGAGACATCCAGACGGGCACGCGCACCGCAGGAAGGTGAGCCCCAACGTCATACCCACGTGAGCTTGCTCTTTTTTCACACTCGGCCCGCCCACTCTTTCCTTCCCGCAGGAGTCTGACCCTGGAGAACTGCGCACCGAGGATCCAAAAAGCCGCGCACGGACCCGTCGCCGCCACCTCACCCTGACGCCGGCTGGAGCAACCGTTACCAACCACTGCGCCTGCGCCAGCTGGGAACGACGCGCGAGGGGGCGGGGCCAGAGCCCGGGAGGCGCCGAGGTCGCCCGGGGGCTGGGCCGCTTTTCAACAGTTTAAAAAAAAAAAAAGGACCCGGAGACCACGTGTCCAAAAGATACCAATCACATTTCCTACTCTGAAATCCCTGGCTGGGTTGGGCTCAGGATCACGTGATCTGAAAAGGTAAATATAGCCACGTGGTTTTTCCTCAACTGCAGCAAACCTTGGCGCCAAGATGTACCTTCGTTGAGCAATTACTTAATGAGCGTGTGCGATGTGCAAAGCACTGTGAAGATACTGTGGCTGCTGGGATGTAATCGCTACTTCAGAATACTCACAATTCAGTTTTATTCATTTAAGTCTCAGCCACTGTACTGATGTTTCCCATATTCCATTTCTTTTAATGAGCACCCATCAGATGCTCATTGAAAGATTGTTAAAGGGGGGCACCTGGGTGGCTCAGTGTGTTAAGCATCTGCCTTCCGCTAGGGTCACGATCCCGGAGTCCTGGGATCCAGCCCCATATGGGACTCCCTGCTTGGTGGGGAGCTTGCTTCTCCCGCTCCCTCTGCTGCTCCCCCTGCTTGTGCTTTCTCTTGCTGTAGGATGAATGAATAAAATATTTTTTTAAAGATTTTTTTTTAATTTGGGGGGCGCCTGGGTGGCTCAGTTAAGCGGCTGCCTTGGGCTCAGGTCATGATCCCAGGGTTTTGGGATCAAGCCCTGCATCGGTCTCCATGCTCAGCGGGAAGCCTGTTTCTCCCTCTCCCACTCCCCCTACTTGTGTTTCCTCTCTCGCTGTCTCTCCCTCTGTCAAAACACAAGCAGGGGGACTGGGAGAGGGAGAAGCAGGCTTCCCTCAGAGCAGGGAGCCCGACTGGGGCTCGCCCAGGACCCTGGGATCATGACCTGAGCTGAAGGCAGACGCTTAACCCACTGAGCCACCCAAGCGCCCCTG